CCTATCACCAAATACTGGAGGGTCACACAGTCTGGCTCATCCATCAGGAACAGTATGTCGATGAGCATTTGCAAGCACGGCACCCCCCGGAGAGCAATCCGGCTGATTCTACCACAAACAGTGAAAGGACCTCTCCACAGGATGATGGCTGTGCCCTCCCGTTGTGTCGTCGCGCAGGTGCAGTTCAGTTGGCATGTACACGACATAGCCTCTGCTCCGAACACTATGAAGGGATGGTCGCTGCTAGCCTCTGATCTCCTGTCCTGTGCTCATCCCCCCCACCCGCTGATTACTTGCCCAGCATGCCGTTGTGGCCTTGATCTGGCATGCTTAAATAACTGTGCACGTCAGCCTTCCATACTAATGACATGTCAGCAACATGCCTTGTGTCGTGAATGTTTCCAGGAAGCTGTCATAGAAAGTATGTGTCCTTACTGCGTGGACTATCCCCGGTGCCATCACCCTCCACATCCTCCCCTATCATGTCCCACATGTGGTATTGGTCATACACCTACAGCAACCGCTGACGGATCTCCCTCTTTCTTGCCAGATGAACAACGAACACAGCAGTCCAAGGAGGAAAATAGACTTCTATATGAACCACCGGCAGAGCGATGTGCTCATAGTTTATCACCACCAGGGCGAGCTGTTGCGGATCATATCCTGCAGCAGCTGAACGCCCTTCCGTTGGACCGATCCTCCCTGTCGTCGTCTGCCCATACAGAAGGAACGCATACTGAGGAAGCCCAAGAAAGATGCTCCATGCCGTTTTGTGATGACCTGCCGGAGATTTAACTAGCATGTGGTTCGCATGCCTTATACCGTGAGGATTATAAAGGTATAGTCCATGCGAGTTTTTGCTTCCATACGTACGATGACAGTCAGTACTGCACTCATGTACGGCACCCCAACATGTCATGTCCAATTTGTAGACAGGGGCTGGAACGGCAATGCCTCTATAATTGTGGCCGACGTGCCTCTGTGTTCCTAGCATGTACGAGCACGTAGCCTGTGACATCTGTCTGCGTCGTGCCATTCGATGCAGCAACTGTGACTGCGAAAATTGGATGCGGTGTTTCCGTAGCCCACACCTTAACCGGTCCTGGCCGGTCTGTAGGGGTGGCCACTCGCCATAGTAGTTTTTTAAACTTTTTTTTTTTTCCCTCACATATTTCTTTCCTTCCCGTTGCCCCAACCTCCCCTGCCCCATACTCCTAGAGAACTCCGCCTTCTGTCCCTTACCCTCCACCCTCCCCTCCACTCCCTTTGTACTACTAACAAAAACATACGATTGAGCATCATTAAGAGAATAGATCATATGAAGATCGAAATGGAATGAACGGAAGTATGAAGCTGAAGATCTGAAGTGAAATGAACAGGAGTATGAAGCTCTGAAGAGATGCACAGGAGCGTACCTTCCCTTTTACCCTGCCTCCTGAAATAACGTGTAAGTGGGCCATGAAGGCACACGGGGATGTGGGCAGCTGCCGCTCAACCACATAAGTTGAGTTCCAGAAGGTAAAAACCCTTTTCCGAGAATGTCTACGGTTCGAATCCGTATAGCCCTATTTTGGTTTATTGTTTATTAATTCTATTCAAAGGAATAGCAAAGTTAACTGAATAGTAATTAGTAATTTATAGTAATTTGATTTATTGATATTCAATAGAAAGTGAAATACTATATAAAGAAATAATCATACTTGCGGCGCATCGAGGTGCGCGGCATCCCGCACGTGCGCCGCACTGCGCACCGCGCACGGGGTGCGGCGCACCCCGAAAATAAAGGGTCGGCCAAAAAAAAAAAAAGTTGGGGAGGGGTGTTGTAGGCTCAAGTGGGATGTTGCGTCAAGTAACAAAAAAAAAAAAAAAACCAACAATTTGAGGCCGCGCGGGGCCCCGGAACTGAATTTTTTTTTTAAGGAAGAACATCAGAATTTCTTTGCACGAGTGAAGCCCGGCACGTCCAACCTGTCAGAACCTCAACGGTACTTGGAGTCTGTATGGTAGGGTTCTTGCAGGCCAGATTCAGTCATGATGAGGGTCGCGATCTCTCAAAACGTTCTCATCGTATTACTTCTGAAGTAGAAAACGACGGAACTGGCAGCCGTTTTTCCTGGATTTTTTTTTTTTAATGAAAGGAAAAAAACGTAAAGGAAGAACAGCTCTTTGCACGAGTGAAGCCCGGCGCGTCCAACCTGTCAGAACCTCAACGGTAATGTTCACCAACGGGCTCGCTGCACAACTCTTGACGTGCACAACAAGACATCTAGGAAGATTCCGGTGACCGGCCGGTCACCCGGGCGTGACGCCCGGGCCGGTCTGGTGACCGGGTCACCCGGTCATGTAAAAAATAGCTGTGTGTTTTTTTTTTTTTTTTTT